GAGCACAATAAATATCATTATGTTGTAGTTACTCACAACATAATGATATCTAATAGCCCATTTCTAATTTTAGATAAGTTCTGCATTGTTGTAATGCTAACTAACCTATAATTAATAACTAGTGCTCGCTAGTGCTATGTTGTTCTGATAAAAAAAAAAAAAAAAGACCATATGCATTGATTTCAACAATGCAACTCTATTCTATGTGTTTCTTTCAACTCATGCAAAACTTGTCAATAACGGCTAATGTAAGCACAGATTACTAGCAACATGTCGACTGTCACTACATGAACTCAAGTTATGAGGGAGGCAAATCAGGTTTAAACCTAATCTAGATGTCAGAATGAAGAAGCCATCACAAAGTATGTTTAATATAGAGTTCTCACAAAAAAGATTTAACCTTGCTAATACAATTTTGCATTTTCTTCTAGGTTCTTCTCAAGTGTTGAGACTGTTGACCAGTTTCTGGGCCGGGTGGGATGTAGTTCCAGAACACCTGAATGTGGAAGTTGTCGACACCAAAATACCACATGCCTCAACCTGCTTCCTTACTTTGAAGCTCTCAAAGAGTGCTGCAAGCTATGACGTTTTTGAAAATGACTTGATGGCAAGCATCTCTTCGTCATATGCTGGTTTTGGCCAATATTAAAATTTTAGGTTTAGTCCAGTGTTTGTTTAAACAATGTTTAACTTTTCTATTTTTATAAAAATTGCCATATTTTTGGCCTCGTGTTCTAGAACTGTTTGAAAACACTGGCTATGGTTGCAAAATTATGTTATAGCAAAAACAATTGCCAATGCCTATATTTTACAAAATTTGACTGATATATGTGAAATACCTAAAGTGATGTGAGAAAAAAATGCATTGGGAAGGAAGAATCATATTCAAAGTATAGACATTTAATCTGATTTAGATTTGAAACATTTGAGTTACAGTAGCAACTGTGGCACTATACACATTTAACACATCAGAAAATGAGCCATGAGGATTTGGTAACTGCTGAATTTCTTCAGGACTCAATGCCCTTGGAAGCTGTACTTCAGGAATGATGAGGCCTTCAGTGCGGTAACCAGATGGATCTTCCCAGTCTATTCCATACTCATGATCAGTCTGAAGAAAAGGAAAAAAACATGAATGTGGCACATTTCTTTACCAATAAAACCCTTTTGAGTAATGAAGTAGATTTGGGGGTAATGCATGTACAATAAATTTCACCCTGTTCAACTACATTGTAGTGAATTGTTAGTATAAGGTACTATCATGACGTACCATGAGAAAAATCTGGCCAAGATAAAATCTAACAAACCTGCGCAGGTTCTTCCCCCTCACGCTGGTTTAGGGTCCATATCTGAAGAGGTGACTGATTGTATTCAGTTCGCAGTTTGTGGTTGTTCCACCCTTCCTTAAAGAAATCCAGGTGCCTCTGGATGTGTGGTAAAAAGCTCCAATGCAGTGCATACAGATGGATTTCATCATCTGGGTTGAGTAGGTCTTCATTTTCCATTATCAGATAAACTGAACAAGTTTTCCCAAATCAAATCAATTTGAACCACAATAAGACATGCCCCCTCATTTGCCTACACTCAGCAAAAAGAAAAACCGTTTGAGAAAAGGAAAAGCTAAATGCATAAATCTTTCTTTAAGTAAATATACAAATAAATAAATGTGAACATTAATGAGTGTATTACTGTAAATATAAGCTTTTCTACATTTCTTTTTCTAACGTTTTATATATATGTATATTTATAATTAAAAAATGGGTACATTTATTTCCTTTGTTATTTATATTTGATTATGGCAGTTTTGGTCCTCCATACACCCTGGATACAAACTCTTTGAACTCCTCCCCTCTGGACGACGTTACAGGTCACTGTGCACCAAGACAACCAGACAGAGACAGTTTCATCCTCCAGGCTATTACACTGATGAACAGCAATGTTGCTCTTTTAACTTGTGCTTTTTAAACGTGTATTTATTGTATGGATGCTGTAAAGCAATCCACACTATGCTCTCCTGTTCTTTATTGTATGGCTGCTGATTCAGCATCCATAATATGTTATCCTGTTCTTTATTTATTATTGTGTGGATGCTTCAGCAGCCACACTATTGTTATCCTGTTCTTTATTGTGTGGATGCTGTAGCATCCACACTATGTTTTCCAATTATTTGTATGGATGCTGTAACACACCCATACTATGTTATCCTCTTCTTTATTTATTGTATGGATGCTGAATCAGCATGCATACTATGTTATCCTGTTTTTTATTGTATGGATGCTGATTCAGCACCCATACTATGTTATCCTGGTCTTTATTGTGTGGATGTGAAGCACCCACACTATGTTATCCTGTTCTTTATTGTGTGGATGTTTCAGTAGCCACACTCTTGTTTTCCAGTTTTTATTATTGTTTCTTCTGTACGTTTTTTGGCACTCATCTCCTCCCACATGCTTTCAGCTAGACAATCCATTAAGGTAACAAAATGTTCAACTCTTTAAGAACATGTGTGCTTGTATTTTTATTGTTTTGTAACATTTATACTTTTTAACATATTTAGCTTTTTTCAGAAAATTTTGCCCCATTCAAATAATGGGAAAAATTTTCACATCTTAATATCTTCAGCATACCTTCAGCTTAAACCACCATTTCAACTAATAACTATTCAGCAAATGTTCAGCTATTCCTACTATAAACAGCTTTTTGATATATTTTATGGTTTTTGCATAATTATCATTTACATTTTATGCCTCATTTCAATAGCCCTACTAGTATTTCTCAGTGTGTAGCACTACTCTTTGTTTCTCATACACACACAGACACACAAACACCTACACGC